TATATATTAACACAACCGCATGGTGCGAGAGCTGTGGTGACTTTCAGACGTGTGGCAACCGTCGGCATTTCCCGAGAGCTATATCGACGATATTCTCCTTCCTCAGAGAAGGGGAAGCAAGCATGCATGCCATATGTACCAGATACACACTACATGCATGACATTTTAGGGTTTGGGGTTTAGAATTTTATGTTAAGACAGAGAGCTCTTCATTGAATCCATCGAGCATACCATCCGTCTGGAATTGCAGAAGCTCGTCGCAAGCCTCATCAATCGTCGTGTACATCTTCATGAGCTTGTGAAACAACCTCACCAAGGTTGGGGTTAGTGTGCACTCGATCTAGAAAGAAATGGGGAAATCTCGGGGCCGGGCCTTTCTTGAATAGCAGCTTCTTTAGATTCTTTAGACTCGGTAGACGGTGTGGCATCGGCTTCGGGGGCCTTCGGGGGGTTCGGCATAATCTCCTTGAGCTTGCCCAGTCTTTTCTGGCAGGCCGAAATGGCCTTTGCTAGGAGGCTCGAGGGCTTGATGCCCTCACCAACATCGGGGTATCCTAGCTTTTTCAATAGCTTGCTCAGCTCCTCGTTGTGCGGCTGGGCCGTCAGCCCATCAGACTTGTCCTGGAGAGAGGTTGCCCTCTGTCCTTAGCTGAGGCATACGATGTGATGGAGGGCAGTTGCAGCCCGACTGCAGAACAGTTGTTATCATGCACGTACAAGTGGCCTTCACCCTCCACCAGGGTATCGTTGAGATCCACAGACACATCCATAGTGTCGGTGTTGGCAAATGACTCGTACTCATCCTTGATGCTCACGTGTTTCGTCGCCCTGATCAGAATGAGTAGTGTGCGTGTGGCTTCTGGTTGCCCTGATTGAACTAGATAAGCGAAGGCTCTTCTTGTGACCACGAATCTTGGTCTCCACATAGTAGGTTAGCACATTCACTTTGAAGGCGTGCTGCCTCAGATCACTAGGGTTTAGGGTTTAGGGTTTAAGGGTTCAGGGTTTAGGGTTCTGGATTCCGACTCCCTATATTAGGTCTTAAACTGATGCACACAGGCACCGAATGAAGCGATCCGGATTTGTCTCTGCGGCGGCGACCACAGCATCGACATCGGCCCTGGGTTGCTGGGCTGTTAAGTTGAGTCTTGACGAAGGCATTGTTTCGGGTTTTGTTTTTGGACTTTAAGGTAAAGGGCTTAGGGGTTTATAGGGGGCCGGGGGTTTAGAGTTTTTGGCCAGGCTTTAGAAGAGTCTCTGAGACATGTGGTACGGAGCGTCTTGCATCTCGCTTTTCGACAAAAACTCAAAGTCCACATTGAGCTCCATTTCCTTGGAGCTCTTAGTCGTCGTAGCGTGTTTGCGAACGAAGGTCTCCTGGGAGGCTGGCTCTTAAGTTTCTAGAAGAAGGCTCGTGACGGCTCGTGCATACAGTACTCTAGTTCTTTATGCAAACACTGGCAGTCCGTGTCAAAGCCTGCTTGTGCAAAGAGATTTATGACGTTCTGCTTCGCAACACCACCAGCATGCCATTGACGACGAATGTCTTCTTGCACCTTAAACACTCCTTTCGCATTCGGTTCCATGGCACGTGTCAATCGTTTGTTGATGGCTGCCAAGCTGGGCGGAGGTGGGTGGCTTTTGGCAGCGACTGGTCTGGATGGCATCTGCATGGGCACGAGCTGTGCGGGGTTGTTCTGCTCCTTGGCTGCAGGCGGCGGTGCTGTTGCTCTGGCTGCGGTTTTGCATGCTGTCGTTGGGCTCGGGTTTCGGCTGGAGCTTGGNNGGAGGGCTTTGGAACAAGTTTCGTGGAGTAATCTTCCAGGGGTCCTGGGCATCCTGGCTGGATTCGCTTAAGGTCAAGCTGGCTTGGCTAACACCTCTTGCAGGCATCTTGGGTGCTGGGCTTGTCGACTCAGCCTTGCAGGCTATCGTATTGGCGTCTAGTTGCTTCATCATTGCTGCTCCCCGTCGTGCTGCCAATTCTGCTTCCTGCTCCAAGATCTGAAGCTGTGCATAAGCCGATTCCAAAGCTTGGCGCTTTTGCTCGAGCTCAGCGATTTGCTTGAATGCCTCCACTCGAAAGCTGTCCTGTTGCAAACGGCCTGCTTCCTGTGCTGCTCGTCCCTGTTGCAAACGGGTTGCTTCCTGTGCCACTTGTTCCTGCTGCAAACGGGCTGCTTCCTGTGCTGCTTGTTGCTGCTGTGCTCTGGCTGCTTCCTGTGCTGCTCGTTCCTGTTGCAAACGGGCTGCTTCCTGTGCTGCTCGTTCCTGTTGCAAACGGGCTGCTTCCTGTGCTTGTTCCTGTTGCAAACGGGCTGCTTCCTGTGCTACTCGTTCCTGTTGCAAACGGGTTGCTTCCTGTGCTGCTCGTTCCTGTTGCAAACGGGCTGCTTCCTGTGCTGCTTGTTCCTGCTGCACTCTGGCTGCTTCTTGTGCTGCTTGTTCCTGCTGCACTCTGGCTGCTTCCTGTGCTGCTTGTTCCTGTTGCAAACGGGCTGCTTCCTTTGCTGCTAGTTCCTGCTGCTTAGCTGCCTCAGCTTTTGCTTCGTTGAGTGCCTGTTCATCGTAGTCTCCTTCCTGTTCGGTTTCTGCTTCAGCTGCTGCGGCATCTACTTGCGTCTCCTGTGCTTCTGCAACTTCTTGTCCCCCTGTCCAGACTTATAGCACACATGACAGTCTAAAGTAATGCACGGCACACGTGGAGCCTAGGCATCCTTCTCCGGATGGGGCTGGGCCGCGAAGTTTTCCTGCTTCCTCCGGTTCGGACAGCGTACACATCGCGGTTTTGGCTTTAGGGGTTAGGGTGGGTGCCTTATTATTTAGGGTTTAGGGTATAGGGTATATGTCGAAATCTGTAGAGTAGAGGGTCCTTATAACCACGTCTACAGTGTGTTTTTGTATTCATGCATGCATATAGTATATACATGTTGTATACACATGTGTGTAGGTGTGCATGGACATGCAATGTGTGTGTGTGTGTGCACGATGCACCAGTGAAGCCTTCGAAGCCTCTGGGCTGGGACTTAGGGTTCGAGGGTCTGGGTCTGGGTGTAGAGATGTTTATCTTCTTCAGTCGGGTATCTCACCTAAGAAGTTCGTAGGGCCCGTGTAATGCACGAGCGAACTCTCGAAAGCCTGTGGTACGGGAATTAGGGTTCAAGGGTCTGGGTCTGGGTGTGGAGGTGCTTAGGTCAGGTAGCTCACCTAATTGGTTAAGGATTTATGCAGGGTCTTATAAGGTTGGTTCAGGACTCAGGGTCCATTTCGGGGAAGTTAAGGTTTCGGGGGTCGTAGGAGTTGGGGTTTGTTGCATCCCGTGAACCCGAAAGCAACTCGGTGCTTCTTCAAGTGCTACCCTCACGAACCCTAAACCTTAAACCCTAAACCTCAAACCCTAAACCCTATACCCAAGACCCTATATGCCCTAAACCCTAA